GTAGCTGTGCCCTAAGACAGTTTGCAAAAATAAAGTTAATGGAGATATAAGCCATTTCAGCTAAGAGCAGAAGTACTATACTATTTATAGGTCAGCAAGAGAACATAAATACATTGCGGTCTCATTCTCCTCTCCTGCTAGGATAAACCGGTAATAATTCCATTGAAGTAAAAGCAGATAAATTGGTATAAAGATGATGTAAGTGAAGATTAGGAGTGTTAGACCCATCATACTGACACTTGTTATGTAGGTAGTGTTTTCAGCTGCAGTTTCATTGCGGTTTCACCAGTCGTTGCATAAAGCTGTGTCTGTGTGATTCTGAAATTACGTGTTCCAAACGGGAAACAGTAACAAAGCTAACGTAGGTTAAATTATTAAAACATACAACATGGAAAGAACTCAACATAAGCTTTGAATGGTTTTCTCGTGTACTGCTATTCTTCAGGAGGTCTCTGAGTCCCCAAGAGAGAGCTGCAATCGAACAAGTTCCCTGAATTAAATTCTCAATGCAGACCTGATGACATAAAAGAGCGTGGCGCTAATGAACTGGAGTTTGGTTTATTGTCTCAAGTTACTCATAGACTCCCTCTTCCTCTTCAGTGTATACTCACAATTGCTTAATATTGTTGGCTTTCTGTCTGTGTTACTCATGGTATTCAGCAGAGAGCCCTTATTTTCAATCCCCAAATCTTTCTCGTCTGCTTTTCACAAGATACATACTTTACATCCACCAAAAGCAATGTCAGTGCTTGGACCAGCCTTGTCATTGTGTCTCCAGTTGAAATGCTTTGAACTAAGGTGGACCATGAACAAACTGCTTTTTTCTTCATATACCCAAGATATAGACATTGTCAATGGTTCACCTTCCTATTTTGCCAATTTGTACTGAATGGCAATGTCAGGAGCTTGTTACTGCATCTCAAATTGATTCTCTAGGCTCAGTGATAAGAGCAAACAGAAGAACCGTGAGGCTATAGCAGTGGTGTGCAACCTTATTTGATCTGCGACCCCTGCGCCGCAGGGGCCTCCAATTGCTGGGCCCAGCCCCCGACCAGCTGGATGTAAGTGCCGCGCCGCACATCTACCAACCCCCAGCCAGCTGGATCTAAGCACTGTGACCCCTCAGGAAGACATCCGTGACCCCTTTGAGGGTTGCGACCTGTGGGTTGCGTATCACTGGGCTATAGAACAGAGCTGACAACTTGAACAGCTTGGTGGGATGAAATAGTCTCTAAGTTTGATAAGCCAACCGATTATCATCGTTGTCGATGATGACCCTGAAATTATCGTGGGTTCAGCTGTACTCAGAGTGGGGTTTTTTGTGTGTGAACTTCTCTCCTTTGAAACAAGAAAAGTCTCAGCTCTCAGGGCTTTTGTGGGGACTACCAATGACTTGCGGAAAGAAAAGAGATGACAAAATTGGGCAATTGAGAAATAATGTGCATGGCAAAGGGACAAGAAGGTGTGAGGAAAAGAAAAGAATTAAAAGTATTAAAATCTTTGGACTTAAAATGAAGCTCAGAGAGCTCATGCGCTTTTACCTCAAGAGCAGTTGGAGAGTGGTGATCATGTAAAAGGAGTCCAAGTCCATCTTTGGATGCATATTTACGCTCGCGCTGAGAGATGAACGTGGAGATCTGAGGGCAGAGTTTTAGCTGGAAGAATGAGTAAAGCCAGTATAAAATAGTCTCAGAGCCATGACTGTGTGTCAGTAGAACACACCATAAACTGTCTTGAACTTCACTGTTTTGGTGCAACTTTTTCCCACCCTGTGGGCCAGATAGTTTAGCTAAAACCCTGTCCAAACGGGTTCCTGAGGAATCTCTCTCCATGCACTATGGCAAACACCTTTTCAGTCCCCTCCCTTCCCTCCTCCCACATCCTCCTACATAGTTACAAATACAGATGTGTCTGTGGCCAGGAGGAGACGGGAAATGCTCTTTCAGTGTCTGCGTAGGAAGCAACTGTCCCCTTCTTTCAGGTCCAAACTCTCAAGGGTGTGTCTACACTGCACTGTAACTCGAAATAAGATACACAATTGGAGCTATGCACATTGTGTATCTTATTTCAGTGCTATTCCGAAATAGCTTATTTCATCATTTGGCACTGTCTACACAGCGCCAAATTTCGAAATAAATCGCTATTCCAAAACATCCCTTACTCCTCGTAGAATGAAGTTTACAGGGACATCAGAATAGCGAGCCTGAAAGAACGGGCTTGCTGTGAAGATGCGAGATAGCTATTTTGGGATACTCCGGCATCCCGAAACAGCTGCGCAGTGTAGACCTGCCCTTTGAACCCCGGGGGAGCCGATGAAAAACCAAGACAGTAGGAAGTCAGTGCTTTTGCGGAAATTCAAGCGGCCAGTGTAGACAGCTGGCAAGTTTTTCCGGAAAAGCGGCTGATTTTCCGGAAAAACTGGCCAGTCTAGACACAGCCACCATGTTTTTCTACCATTGCAACACATTTGTTTAAACAACTTAATCGTAGTCAAGCGGGTGGTGACATTTTGGGGTATAAAAAGTACAAAAATAATAAAGGAGCTGTAAAACTTAAAACAAAAATTCTGTTTTCTCTAGATTTCACTTGCGTTGATGTACCCTCCAGACTTCTCTCGAGTAGCCCCTAAGGGTACTCATACCGCTGGTTGAGAAATACTGGAGTTAGAGGAGTTGCATGTGGTGTGAATGAGCCCAGAATGTGACCCATTATCTTTGGCCCTTGGAGGCTTTGCTGAGCTTTGACGGGTTAACAGGGAGCATTTTCTTAAGTGTGATAGAACTTGTTATCTTTTAGTAGCTGCTGCTTGCTAGTCGCAGTACAGGGGTGGGTTAACTGAATGTGTTCTCCCGGGAAGGATTAATTTTGCCTCATCTCTGTTTACATGGTGATAAGAAGTGTTTACCTTCCCCTGTCCGTCTGCGCCGATGGATCTGAGGAGTAAAGTGGGTGATTTCTGATTCGGTTGTGTGCGGTCAGTGGCTTGGGGCACTGTGTGACCTGGAACCACTCCCTTCCTGTGATGTGCCGTTACCTTTTGGGAAGAAATTAATCCTTTTGTTCATTCCCTTTGCCCGGTTTGCCTCTTGCGGTGAGGGGTGTTCCTGATCAGGGGAGAGGAGGCTACCCAGAGTTGGAAAATCTCGGGTTTAATGCAGGCAGCATCTTTTCCCTCTGAGCTGTGGGCAGCTCTATGGTGTCATTTGGGGTTGGAGCTGGCACACAGCAGAGGAAAATATTTGGATCGGTCCAATCCAGCGTGTCCCTGGGGGCACCGGGGATAGTGCCAGGGGCTTGCCATCAAAAATACTGGCGAGCAGCATGGACGCTGATTGCCTGCTGAAGTCCATGACGGGAGTAGATTCCCGTCGATTTGGGGGCTGGTTTTGGAGCACCGGGAGGCGGGCTGTGACCTGGCCAAGCCTGTCTCTGGGAGACGAAGGACGTGGGATGGTCGGGGCGGGGTTGTCCAGCTCTGGAATGTGACTGAATCCGGATTGCCCAATCTGAGTCACAGACAGTAAATTGCCAGTGAAGACGTTACCCTGGTGTTCAATTTTCCACCACTTCATCCAGATCCAGTGCGCAGTGCTCCTGGCGGCAGCTGTCAGGCCCTGCGGCCCTGACCTGGGCAGTGGAAGGACATAGAATAAAATAACGCCCAGGGCCTAGACCCACCTCACATGGTACGAAGAGGCGCCAATGACACTTCCCTGTGCCCCAGGGAGGCCAGGAGCTGTCAACACCCTCTCCCAGGTTTAATGCCAGGTGGGCAACAGCTTTAGTGTACAGCTATTTACCGTGAACTTAAGAACATAAGAGCGGCCAGCCTGGGTCAGACCAAGGGTCCATCTAGCCCGGTGTCCTGTCGGCTGACAGTGGCCAACTCCAGTTGCCCCAGAGGGAGGGAACAGCACCGGGAATCATCACGTGATCCGCCCGCTGTCGGCCATTCCCAACCCTGACAAACAGGCCAGGGACACCCTCCCTACCCATCCTGGCTAATAGCCATTGATGGACCCAACCTCCATGGGTTTCCTCTATGAATTTACCATGTCAGGCGGCTGCTGGGGTGATGCACAAGGAGCCTGATGCAAAGCCCACTGAAGTCAGGGCCAGTGTTTTCATTTTCTTCAGTGGCCCTTTGAATACCTTGGGAGGCTCGACTGCCCTCTTGTTGCTGAATGCCACTCCCTTTATGGACTGCACTGGCTGCCTGTTCCCCCCCCATCCTTCTACTGCAAGGGAGGGCTCAGCTACTTTCCGCCACTGCAGTTCCACCCTGGTGGGTTTACAGCTTGGACCTCCCTGGACCAGCACCCTCGGGACCTGACTGGTCTCGAACAAGGGAGTTTGCTGGTCCAGGGGAGGACAATGCTGGCCCCCTGGCCGCCAGCCCGGCTCCACTCCCAGCCCTAGCTGGACTCCAGCCGCTGGCCCAGCTCCACGCCTGGCTCCAGACCTGGACAGCCATCAGCCCCTCTGCCGCCGAATTCCATGCCAGTCCCTGCTCCCAGCTGCTGAGGTTCTCTGGTCCAGGAACATCCGTGGTTCTGCCAGCTGTTGCCGGACCAGAGAGGTCAAACCTGTACCAGCAACAGCACCTTGTGCTAGCACAGACTGGCACGGACCCTATGCTGAAACTGGCTCTCCTTTTTAACTATGCAAAACGTCCCCTCGGTCCTCCTTGCGCTCAGATAAATACGCGAATCTCTGGGCAGAATTTGCCCTAGAACGTAATTCATAATTTTTCTTCTGCACAGAAGTATTGCGATGCCTTTTGAGGGGCTAGCCTATTATCACTTCTCAATGCTGAGTATTCTGGGTACAAGGAAGTGCACCATCAAAGTAGGGGAAGGTTTGGAGAGAAACTAAATGAATAACCTGGGTTTTAATTATTTTGAGCATGAGAGTCAACCGTTCCGACTTGCCAAGTTCAGTGTAATTGGACAACGCTTCCCAGGTCTTAAAGGAGGTAACCCTTGCTTTTTTCCTTCCAGAACCCTGTGTCGTGTAAACGAGCTGATGGATGAAGATGAGAAGGACAGGGCAAAGAGGTAGGGAAGGGCGCACGGAGCCTTTGGGGCGGTGTGCATTAAATCGCTCTTGTACGTGGAAATGTAACAAGTTTTGCTTGCATGGTGATTGGAATTCTGTTTGGAGCCTCATTCACCTACTGTGGATGTGAAAGGCAAAACTCCCACTGAATTAGCCAGATCCCAGTTAGCCAGATTGCATTCTTTATATGTCAGAGTTAGCACAGGGACAAATATGCAGCCTCTTTCATCACCCAGAGGTGTAGCTGATCGGCGCTCTGAGATTGCTAGGTTACACTCTCTTGCCCTCAGGATCACTGATCATCTGCCCAAGGAGAGGCTAATCGACGCTCTGAGATTGCTAGGTCACACTCTCTTGCCCTCAGGATCACTGATCATCTCATTCCTGTTTGTTATGATGATTCACTGCTCCTCGTTGGAGATTTCACTGGTTTGATTTAATACCTTGTTGGAGGATGGTTTTTCTGTGAAGCTTAAAGGAGGTTCCAGATTAACTCCGGATGTGAATTCATCTCTCTTAATAAAACTGTGACCTTTCTAATTTTTCTTTGGACTTTCACTCCAAATACAAATGTGCCCAAGTGAGTGGGTCTGAAACTCCCCCCCCCCAAATCTGGTGTGGGGTGTTTGATTCTAAATCTGAACCTGTGTGGGCTTTCTATAATACGTGTTCCAAACTTCCAGATGAGACGCGCTTGCCGAGAGAAATACATTTGTCAAAGGTTTTAATTACAACTGGCGCCCGGCTGCTGCATAGTAGGGTTATTTGTGATAGTAGCATGAAGTGGACTCTTATGCTAGAGATTGCACATGGGCACGCTTCCTGCTTTACTATTGATTTTACTAAAGGGGAAAACGTGATTAAAACCTTCTTAACCATACTCAGGGCAGGTTGGAAGTTGGTGTGTGGTTTCTTCACATATCACGGTACTGCTCAGTTCAGATTTTCAAACTATTGTGGGGCCTCAAGTTTTGTGCAGTTTTTTCACAGCCAAGTTTTTCTGGGCACAAACTGGTGTGTGCATGCTACACTTGCATGCTGAAAGCAGGAACTTGGTCTCTCACCTGGTTTGGCACACATTGTGCAAAAATACAGGCATAAAGAAACTACTTGGAAAACTATAAGTATACTCAGTTGTGGGAGCAATTTCAGAGGCTTCTTTGAAAATAATGTGTGTAATGGGTGAAATTTTTCCCATGAAACTTTTTTGTCTGAAAAGTGCAGGTTTGGTGACATCAAAATGTTTTGTAAATTCATGTCTGTTTCACTGAATTGTTTCAGTAACACAAAAAATTTGGAGAAAGTGAAACATTTCAATTTTTCAGTTTGAAATGACAACTTTTTTATTTTACTTTAAAGAAGACTTTATTTTTAATTTTAAATGGGTCAAAATTGAAACTTTTTTATTTTTATCGTCACAAAAATGTTTCGTTTAACTTGATGTTACATTTGTTTCAACTTTTTGATTTACTAGAAAATTGAAACAATTGTTTTTGGTTTGACTCAAAGCAATATTTAAAATATTCCTTTTAAATTGGCAGCAAACGAAAAAAATTAAACTGCTCGGGTTTAAAAAAAACACCCCAAACCAACCAACCAAATCCCCTGAATAAACAAATGTATTTACTCCAAAGAATATACATGACTTTTCCAACTTCCAGATGTTCCTTGTTCTTTCTGAGCTTGATCCTGCTGTGACCTGCTGGGTACTCTGGGCCCAATCCAGCAAAGTTCTCAAAAATACATTTAGCTCTAAGCATCTGAGTAGACCTATTGAAGCCCATAAAACTGTTCATGTGCTTAAAGTTAAGCATGTGCTATCGTAATTTGCTCAGGCTACAATACCAGAGAAAGTTGACCTAAGCTACCAACTCTAGCTACATGAATAACATAGCTGGAGTCAACCTACCTTACGTTGAATTACTGTGGTGTCTCATCCAGGGTAGAGTAAAAAAGAACGACTTGTGATTGATTTGACAGGTCTTCACTAGACCTACTAAATCGACTGCTGGTGGATCGATCTCAGAGTATTGATGACGGAGGTCGTGTAGATGTAGCCTCAGTCTGAGCTGCTCAGCAGCTTGTAGGATCAAGACGTAGCCCCCTTGCTTTCCTTAATGGTGTTTGTGCTTTGATCAACCAGGGCATCACGCAACAAATCTGAAAAGAAAAGGCGAGACCAGTTCAATGTCCTCATCAAAGAGCTCTGCACAATGCTGCAGGGTCATGGCCACCCTCTCAAGATGGACAAGTCCACAATATTGCAGCGGACCATTGACTTCTTGCAGAAACAGAAAGGTATTGGATAGCGCTCGGGGAAGAATGTGGGAATTGCAAAGGGGGTCATCAGAGCAGCTGGCTAGCCCTCCATTTCTGGTGAGAACAGGGACACTGAGTGGCAAAACAGCACCGCGGTGAGGAGAGGAAGGCATCCTAGCCAGACTGGGGCCGCAGGGGAGGCTAGAGCAGGAGGAGGCAATAATTTTTGGTAGGGGGCCACTCCAAAGTTTTGGAAAGTGGCCAAGATCTGCACTTTTCTGTGGAGGAAGTGCGGGGTCTAGAATGGAGGTTGGGTGCAGAAGGGCACATGGGGTAAGGGACTGGGGTGCAGATGACAATGTGAGGTCTAAGAGGGAGTCTGCGTGAAGGAGGGGGTTGTGATCTGGGTCAGGAGGTTGGGGTGCAGGGTGAGGGAAGGGGTCGGGGTGCAGGAGAGGATTCTGGCCTGGGGGAGGTTTGTGGGGGGGGTACAGGGTCTGGGAGGGAGTTGTGACCTGGGGAAGGGGGGTGCAGAGGTTTTGGATGGTGACCTGCAGCACCCCCAAGGCAGGCTGGGCACCCTGCCTGATGCAGCCCCAGATTGGGTAAAACTGCATCCTACTCCCTCCATGTGGCTCTCAGCTCCAGGAGTGGGGAGAGGCTTGCGCTGCCCCCAGACCCCAGGCCAATCTTGCAGCTCCTATTGGCTGGTTGTTTCAAG